ATCCCTGTCCCCACCCAACCCCTTCCAACAACAACCAGCTCCAACTGACTCTGGTCTTGGGAGGCCAGGCTTCCCAGCCACCGAAGACTACTTTAAATAGAAAAGAGAAATTGAATAATAAAATCAGGAGTCAAAATTCATCGTCTTCAAGCCCCTCTTTCTAGCCTTTTTCTACTACTGTCTGCTTGGTCAAGGTTTATGGCCCTAAAACAGAACAGGGAGAAGGCTAAAGTAGCCACCACCACTAAAAGCTGAAATTTTTTTATACCACTCTAGTGTCAGCATTTTCCCATCTGTTGGGCCTTGTTCCTCTCTTTTCCCACTCTCCCCAGGTATTTTACCAGGCCTCAAAATAGAGAGGAGCTATATTCTTCAGATTGTTTTTATTCATATGTGGCAGATTCCTTTTCTGATCCAGACTGTCTGGTTAGGCTCCTCTCATTTTTAGGAGCCGGAGCCTGCATTTACCAAGGGATTCTCATCTGTCAAATGGATCCTCATTTGTAAATCTCTTTAGTCATTTTTGTTCCACAGGACTTTTTTTTTTTTTGTCTTCACAAAGCTGTAAAGGAGTAATCCATCTCAACCTTGTCTATTTCTTTGGAGTCAGGGGGGATGGGGGGCGGTGCATTCCCTTGCTCCATCTTAGAAACCTGAGCTGGAAGCTCAACTGTGGTTTTGTTCCCTGTTTGAAATATTTTGACCTCCCTCCCTGAAAGAAAGACCAGGAACCAGAGGAGCAGACTGAAGAGACAACTCCTGGCTTTTTGAAGCTGTGGACTTGGATTGGATGAATTGCTAGGGGTTTGGAGAGAAAGGTGATGAGTTTCAGTACCTCTGGCATGCTGTCCCAGGGAACCAGGGCTCCCGCTAACTTATGAGGTTTTTAAACATGTTGAAAATGACATGGCGTTAAAATAAATTTGGATTTGCTCATAATCATGTGCCTTTATATGCTGCTCTTATTTGATGGAGGTGGGGGAAATGTCAGTTGAAGTGATGGTCATTTGGAACTAGTTTTCTATATTGCCATATTCTGCCTTAAAAAGAGAAATACTATGGGTTGGGAAGACCTAAATCCTGGATTCTCTGAATTAAAATTAATTTTTTTTTTAAAGTTTTTAAATTTTTCTAGAGTAAAATCTTACCCCTTATTGGTGGCAGTTTGTTCAGGACAAGGTGTATTGTAAAAAATAAAGCACCATATACAAGTGTTTATCTTAATTTAGGAAGCCATAAAGAATGCCTTTACTATTACATAATTTTTCAGGGCCAGTCTGAGATGGATGGATAATTTATTAGACTTAGATGTGAGGCATTGCTGACCTGGAGATAATATAGTAAACAAAACAGCATAGGTCCCTTTGTAAGAGCTTATGAACTACAGTTGACCCCTGAACAACATGAGGGTTAGGGGCACCAAGGTGCTGGCACAGTTGAAAATTCTTAATGTAATTTTTGGCTCCTCAAAGCTTAATAGCCTACTGTTGACCAGAAGCTGTAGGATGACACTTGATTAACACGTTTTACATGTTATACGCATTATATACTCTAGTACAGTAAGCTAGAGAAAGTAAGAAAATCAGAGGGAGGGGCAGCTCAGTGGCTCAGTCCGTAACCGTCTGCCTTCGGTTCAGGTCATGATCCCAGGATCCTGGGATCGAGCTCCCTGCTCCCTGGGAAGCCTGCTTCTCCCTCTCTCACTCCCCCTGCTTATGTTCCCTCTCTCTTGCTGTGTCTCTGTCAGAATCTTAAGGGGCGCCTGGCTGGCTCAGTTGCTTAAGCGTCTGCCTTTGGCTCAGGTCATGATCCCAGGGTCCTGGGATCAAGCCCTGCATCGGGCTCCCTGCTCCGTGGGGAACCTGCCTTTCCCTCCCCCACTCCCCCTGCTTCTGTTCCCTCTCTCGCTGTGTCTCTCTCTGTCAAATAAATAAAATCTTTTAAAAAAAATCTTAAAAAAAAAATCAGAGGGAAAGAAAATACATTTACAATATTGTGTGTATATTAAAACTCCACAGGTACGTCTACCCATGGCAGTCAAACCTGTGTTCAGGTGTCAGCTGTAGTGGGCAATCAACAGGTGAAATCCTGGTGGACTTGATAGAACGTTGCTGGGGTTTTTTATTCTCAAAATTTTTTTCATATTCTGATGGTGACAATACTAGAACTACTTAAAAGCTTGGAATGAGCGTCCTAAGTGTAAAAAAACAAAGTTTTTTTTTCCAGAGTTAAAAAGGTGAAGTGTGGGCGCCTGGGTGGCTCAGTTGGTTAAGCGACTGCCTTCGGCTCAGGTCATGATCCTGGAGTCCCGGGATCGAGTCCCGCATCGGCCTCCCTGCTCGGCGGGGAGCCTGCTTCTCCCTCTGACCCTCCCCCGTCTCATGTGCTCTCTGTCTCTTTCTGTCTCAAATAAATAAATCTTAAAAAAAAAAAAAAAAGGTGAAGTGTTACCGTATAAATTATAAAGGGAAACCACGAAGAAAGGATGATCACCAAAAGCCTTACAGTCTCTTATTATAAAAGTTAGGTGACGTCTGTATGGTAGAGGGTTCTTTTTCATCCTTCCTAAGTCAAGTTTCCATAGCCAAACCTATGGGTATGTTTTCTGAGTGCTTCTGACCTGACCATACCGCGAAACTGGGAAGTTCTTTATCTTAACACCAAATATTCTCTAGAGAAGACAGCTGATCTTGCTTCCTCTGTCTATTGATTTGATCTTCACCCCTCGGTAGAGGGAGAGTCACTGAAGTATCTTCTGAACAAGATGCACTGTGGCCAGGAACCCTGTGCCATTCATTCAGCCTCAGATAATTGTGGGGAAAGACCGTGGTTGACAAGAAAAAAGCGTTGATCTAAATTACAAAGGTCTCTTTTTGTAGTATGACGGCTTTCTCGACTCCCCACTTTACATCTTCCCACGTTCTGTAATCTTAGGATCTTCGTAAGTTCCGAGATAGAATCTCCCTACAGCAATTTAGAAAATAAACGAGTAAAAGAAGTCAGGAATCTTTGGAGAGTCCGCACTTATCCATAATAAAATGGAGGGTGTCCCCAGGAAACTGCAACTCCCATGAAGCAGTGAGAGGGAAGGCGGAAGTCACTATCATCTGTTCGTCGGCACCTCTCGGTCCCACATTGGAAATATGTGCTCACGTTGAAATAATACAATGGCCTCATAAGAAAACTGGGGAAGGGGAATTTTGTAACTCAAATTTAAAATGTTTCCAAGAGCACTGCTAATTCAATCACTTAATCCGGCACCTGAGGAGCCGAAACCCATTGTTTCTCCCCTTGGGTAGTCCCGCCCTTGGAGGAAGAGTGAAATAGCGGAAGTGACGACACAACTCCCTATTAAATAAGTGGAGGCGGGCTGCTGGCGCTCTCTCGGCCTTAGCGCCATCTTCTTGGGTGAGTGTGATTGTTGTGTGTGTCCGGATCCGTGCACAATCCATTGACATCTGATCTCTGCGCTTGCCATCATTACAGCAAACTAACTGTGGCCTTTTTCTCTTTACCTGTAGAAACATCTGCGCCATGAGAGCCAAGGTAAGCAGTCCCTGGCAGTAACCTGAGGCAGTAGCTACTGATGATCGGTGGGGGGATAGCCAGGCAAGGGAAGTCCGCCATGGTTCCCGAGCCGCTGGGTTCTCAAGGGTGCCCAAGAGCTCGTGGGGGAGGAAGGATAATTTGGGGAGAAGCAGAGGAGGTGGCTATGTAGTGTGGGTAGAGAGGGCGGGAGTAGAAAAGCGCACGCGGGATTCATGTTTATGTCGGCGAGTGAGGGTGGGAGTCCGAATTACTGATAGGGTTACTGCTTGGGCAGGAACCTGCCAGGTTTTAAATAATGCCCTTCACATCCCTGCCTAAACCTGTTACTAAAGCTAATAATCTCTTGTTTTATTCACTGCCTCTGGTTATGATCGGTTGCCAGTGGAGGAAGAAGCGAATGCGCAGGTATGTTGAGACTTGACCGGCCAAAACAGGAAGAGGGAAATGTAGCGTGCCTCGGACAAAACGTGGGAGGAACATTTGGTTTAGAAATCTGAAAGAACTTTAGGTGAAAAACAGTTCTAAGTATTGCCTTTACTAGTCAGGGATTGAACACAATAGGACCAAGTGCTTGTTTGTTTTGCCACCTCAGGTATCGGATGCACGTTTTTTAAGGTGGGAGGGAAAGACTGAACTTGGGTTTGTGGGCAGGAGATGATTCCCGTGTCTGCTTTTTCAGGCTGAAGCGTAAAAGAAGAAAGATGAGGCAGAGGTCCAAGTAAACCGCTAACTTGTGCACCCATGGAGCCACAGGAGCAGAAAGAAGGAAAGCCAGAGGCCAGGGGCGCTGGTACCAATTGTTGGACTGCATGCCTACTTTCTAGAGCTTGATTCAAGGGCTCTAGACCATCGCCATCTGATCGCAACGACCACCTTTGAAGAGACCTGCCTTGTTCATACCAAAACAGTCCCTTTTGGTCCTTTGCCCTGGACCTGTGACTTTCGGGACTAATTCTGTTTTCATTTGTGGCTGGATGTAACACGTGTACAATAAATCATCTTTTCTGCTGTCTTAGCTGAAGAAAAAAATGCTCTTGTCTCATACGTGGTTTTTATGGTTTCATTGGCTGGGGGGGTTCTGGATCAGTGCAGCAGGCCCTCTTGAATACCCCGTGCTGTAGTGTCAAGCACGCTACATGGGCTACAGTGACTCCCGTCCTTGGCTAACATCTGGTCCGCGGACCCTCGGAGCAGCTGGATAACTGGGGGGCCCCTCCCATACTGGGTGTAGTACGCGCACGGGGACCGGTTTCAAGGTGGTTCGCGGCCAAGTTAGGCGCAGACGGCGGTCCCGCCCCTACTCTTGTCTGGGCCTACGTTACAGGTACTAAGTTCCCGTTTGGGGGCCCTACTGTGCTGTTGGGCTGGGTTGCTATGGTGACGCGCAAAGCTTGCCGGGAACTTCCTGTTGGTATCTGCACAAGTACTTTGCGCACCATAGAGTAGTTCCGGGTCTGTGGCTAGAGCGCCATTTCTTCCGCAGGAAGCGGAAGGGCGATAGGGTAGGCGGCTCTTTGTCGAAGCTAGAGGACCGGCAGGCGGCAGCAGCAACTACGGCGGCGGCGGCAGGTGAGGGAGGCGGGAGACTTAGGTAGAGGCCGCGCCCGGAGGGGAGGAGTCGGGGCCGGCCCAGCAGCTGGGCTCGGCCGGGCTACACGAGGCCCCCCAGGACCGAGCTGTTTCTTTCTCACGCCCCAGGGCCGAGCCCTTATTCTGACTGACCCTGCTTCGCGAGCAAACGCCAGCTCCGTGACGTCACAGCCCTGCCCATCCCCGCAGCTTGATGTCACCTGGAATCTCCCCTTCCCGCTTCACTTGTGCTCCCTTAGCGTCCTATTCGTCTGGTCCACGGCTGAGCGCCAGTCGCACTACACAGAACCTGGCAAGCTAGAAGACTTGTGGGAAACTCCTAGGACTTTTCCCCCAAACTCTGGGGTGTTGCGAAGCGTCATAATCACCGCCTCCAAGTCTAATCAGCCATCCCACTGCACTGTCAGCCGCTGCCCTTGCACGACTCCCCATTCAGAGTTAACTAATCTCAACCCTAGGCCGGGCTCTGATCCTCACATCTTCCTTCATCTTGAGGCAGGACACCACTCACCCTTTGTTCACCCAGGGCTGGTTTTCCAACCCGTCCTCCTAGGCTCTCCAGATTAGTTCTATCTTCTTACTCTTCTTACTGACAACTTTTCCCCTTGACAGGTGAAGTTCAGCTTGAACTGGAAGGAAATCTTGGAAGTGTTCAGACCTCTTGCCATTTTGTCAAACTTCTTTATTGAACAAACATTTTATAGTCCTGTGTTCTTACTCCTTCTCCCACCCAGTCTCTCTTTGTTTTTTATTCCTGATCAGAACCCAGCAGTGATGTGGAGGTGGAGACCCACAGGAGCCCCGGACTTCACCTGAGCTACCTCAGGTATTGAACTATCCTGGGAGAGTTGGGTGGGGAGGAATATTATACCTGATTATCTGCTTCTGGTGGGACTTGCATCATGGTTCAAGCTTAGAGAGATGGTATTTATCTTTCACCAGGGCATTTCACTTTTAGTAAAAGTTTGTATCTTCCTATCTACCATTCTTTTTTCCTTGATTGTTTCTGTTCTGGGACTACATCCCTTTGGAGAAAGAGGATCCTTTTTCTTTTGCAGATTCTTCTGTAACTCTGGGCTCTGATCTGGTTGGTTCATTTTAGGAAGCCCTGAAGGCAAAGTCAAGGCAATGGGGAAGGTGGCTGGGGGGAGATGAAGCCCAAAGAAACCAGGAAAGATTCCCTTATACTCAAGAGGAAACAATATGAAGTTTTTCTTATATGAACAGCAGGGGGAGCCTGATCACTGTCTTAGAAAGGCTTATGAGGTCAGACACGTGGTGGCAGGGACTCCCAGTCTTCTTGGGGGTGGGGAGAGGGGAGGGCTAGAACCAGGGCAGTGGACTGACATTCCAGAGCTCTCTTGGGAAAGAGGAGACTTAAAAAACTTTCATAGAGTCTATAAATAAAGAGGATCTTTATGGGGTGAGGAATGGTGTGGTTTGATGTCAGTGGGATCTTCTAATGGGGAATAGGAGGGGGGGTGTAGAATGGGGAAAGAAAGGTCACTTGTTCCTGTGAAATTAACTCCTTCCTCCCACCTTGATCTTACCACAAATGGCTTGGTCCTTTGGTGGTGGTGGTGGGGTAAGTGGAGATTCCAGCTGTAGAACTCTTATCCTGAAATGGAGTGGAGGGGGCTGACCGCATGAGTTGAGAGCGGTGGTAAGCTGGGAGAGAATACTAAAAAATGATAGGTTTAGGGACTGCCCTCAAGCTGGTGACACCAATCTCTTCACTTAGGATTTCCTGAGGTCTTGAGATCTGATACTTCACAGTGCCCTCACCTGAGATCCCATAGAAGAGGAGTTAAGGGAAGTTTTGTCTGCAGTGTCCCAATATTCAGAGCCCTAGTAAGCTCACCAGCCCATCTTGGCCACTTCCCAGTCTTCTCATAACCTATTGAGACACTGAGACAGCAGTTTTAATTTCACTTGCTCGACTTTAATAAGGTCAGCTCAGAAGGGGAAATAAAACCCAACACTATTTTCTCCTTGCCTGCTCCTTGGCCTAACATCATTAGTGAGATGAGGTGGCTTCACCCCAGCTCCCCCCCGCCACCTCTGCCATTAGTCAGGCTAGTGTGAATCATTCTGGCCCAGATCAGGTGCACAAGGGCCTGGGCGGGACTTCTGACAAGCCAGCCAGTCCAGCCAGAATTCTCATCCCTTAGATTTTCCATCTCCAAAGCCATTGCCCCTCTGGCCTGCCTCTTGCTGGACTGCCTGCTGTATAGCTGGGAAGCATGTGGCCTCTCTGGAAGATTCCTTTTTGACACAGTTCTCCTCTTTCCTAGTGGTCACCAAGGGTGGCAAGAAAAAGAAGAAAGCCCTGAGTTGGGGGGGACCAGGATGCCTGACCGGGACAGCTATGCCAACGGCACTGGGAGCAACAGTGGAGGCCCTGGAGGCGGTGGCAGTGAGGAGGCCAGTGGGGCAGGGGCGGGCAGTGGCGGGGCCAGCTCAGATGCCATCTGTAGAGACTTCCTGAGGAACGTGTGCAAGCGAGGCAAGCGTTGCCGCTATCGCCATCCAGACATGAGTGAGGTATCCAACTTGGGGGTGAGCAAAAATGAGTTCATCTTCTGCCATGACTTCCAGAACAAGGAGTGTAGCCGCCCTAACTGCCGATTCATCCATGGCTCCAAGGAAGATGAGGATGGTTATAAGAAGACAGGAGAGCTTCCCCCTCGGCTGAGGCAGAAAGTGGCAGCCGGCCTGGGCCTTTCACCAGCTGACCTGCCCAATGGCAAGGAGGAGGTCCCTATCTGCCGCGACTTTCTCAAGGGTGACTGCCAGAGAGGAGCCAAGTGCAAGTTCCGCCACTTGCAACGGGATTTTGAGTTTGATGCTCGGGGTGGAGGTGGCAGTGGTGGTGGCGGCTCAACAGGCCCTGTCCCCCCGGGACGACGTCATGACCTCTATGATATCTACGACCTCCCTGACAGGGGCTTTGAGGACCATGAGCCAGGCCCCAAGCGCCGGCGAGGTGGATGCTGCCCCCCAGATGGCCCGCATTTTGAATCCTATGAATATAGCCTGGCTCCACCCCGAGGGGTGGAGTGCAGACTGCTGGAGGAGGAGAATGCCATGCTCAGGAAGCGGGTGGAGGAGCTAAAGAAGCAGGTCAGCAACCTGCTGGCCACCAATGAGGTACTGCTGGAACAAAATGCCCAGTTCCGCAATCAGGCCAAGGTCATGACCCTGAGCTCTACTGCACCAGCGACGGAGCAGACTCTGGCCCCCACCGTGGGCACTGTCGCCACTTTTAACCATGGCATTGCCCAGACTCACACTACTCTCAGCAGCCAGGCTCTACAGCCTCGCCCCGTATCCCAGCAAGAACTGGTGGCCCCCACTGGAGCTCCGGCTGCTCCCCCAACTAATGCTGCACCTCCTGCTGCTCCACCACCCCCACCCCCACACTTGAACCCAGAGATCACGCCATTGTCAGCGGCTCTGGCTCAAACAATTGCCCAGGGCATGGCACCCCCACCTGTCTCCATGGCTCCCGTGGCTGTATCTGTGGCTCCTGTGGCCCCTGTGGCTGTATCGATGGCCCAGCCTTTGGCAGGAATCACAATGAGCCACACCACCACTCCCATGGTGACTTACCCCATCGCTTCCCAGAGCATGCGTATCACAGCCATGCCACACTGAGGGGGCTATGGACACTCCCCTGGTATAGCCTCCCAGGGCTGGGGTCGAGGGGCCCTTACCCGCTCGCCTAGCCCTCCCAGGCCCTGTCTAAAGGGCTCACTCAAGAACTAGGATGAGAGACTACCAGGAGTTTGCTTCTGAGAAGGGGTTGGGCTGGTCTGTTCTCTCTCACCTCCCTTTTATGAGGGTCCTCTTGTCCATCTTCCTTCAAGCCTCACAGAGGGGGCTTGCATAGGAGTGCAGACTGAAGCCAGCAGAGAGGAAGGACTGACCGAGGGGCTGTATGTCCCCTCATGGGAAGACGGGGACATCCTGGTCTTGTCCTCTCTTCTGTATAGCACAGGTTCCAGCACTGGCTTTGTAAGAAAAAAAAATACCCTGCCTAGAGGGAAAGCCAGGAAAGATTGGGAAGCGGGTGGCCAGGAGAGAAGGCCTGATAGGAGCCTTCAGACAATTGGGGGCCTAGTGGAGTTGGACAATACAGGAACTGTTCCTGGGCCCATGGGAAGGTGGGGACCATAGTACTCCAGCCCAAAGACGAGGGGAGCGTTCATTACCTTGGCTTGGCCTGGAAATCCATAGGGCAGGGCCCACCACTTTCCAAAGAAATAAAAAAAGAATTATTTTTAACAAATGGAGGCAGTGAAACTTGCTTAGATATTCTGTGTGGAAGAGGGGAGCAGTAAATAGATCTCATGCCAAAATGGGATAAAGACCCACCCTCACATGGCTTGGATAAGGTTGGGCTGAGGCCACGTGTGAAGGGTAGGGACCCAGAACAAGACCAGATGGGGCTTTGTGGGGTAAAAGCATTGGAGCCACCTAGTCTAGTTTAAAAAGAGTCCCATCTGTTCTGGTTTCTATCTGCATGTACTATTCCCAGGATACCTTAGTAACCAGGGCTCCTGGGGTCATTTAGGGGGGCAGGTACTAAGGAGGGGTGGCTGTGCTGGGAAATGGGAATGGGATATATATTGACAGATCCTTCCCTTATTCAAACAGTAGGGCAGGTGGCAGTTGCTCTCTGAGTTGTTGATGTCAGTTAATATCCCTCTTACCCCATGCCTTCCTCAGTTACAATGCCTTAAGCCTTCAAGGCTTGGGAGGTGCTGGGAAAAGGAAAGTTCTTCTGGGGACACGAGCCGCAGTGTTCATCTCTTTCCTCTGCCTCCAAATAGAACCACAGAGGTTTTAAATCCATTTAAGAGTCAGTAAGGCCAGGGGCCCCCAGAGCCAAACCTCAGTTCCTCCTCAGCTCATGGTTGATGTAGGGGAAACAACTCAGGTGTATGACGGGACAGTGGATTTGGGGTAGAGAAAGTGATTCTGAGTTGTGCTTCCCCCATCATATCTCCTGCTACCTCTTGCTTTCTTGTCTGGTTGATCACTCAGGTTACACCTGGGATTGGAGATGGTGGGCTAAGTCAAGGCTGGTCATAAAAAAGAAAAAGAAATGGCCTATAGACTAAAAGTGGGCAAATACTGAAATACTGTTTGTGGACTTTAGAAACCACACATTGATAAGCTTAATGTTGATTTTTCTGGCACAATTCTGGCTTATTAAAAGAGATGGTTTATAAGCATTTAGAGACAAATGTGATCATAGATACCAACATGAGTTCATCCCAGCCAAATCCTGACTGTTTTTGCTGAGTATCCCTAAAGGGGTAGATTTGGGAAACTGCAGACATTGTATGTTCCTTATTAACATACGCCAGCTAAAGGCCGCCAGGAATACACCTGTAGTCGAACAAGCTGGGTTTAATGCTCACTGCAGTGGTGGAGAAAACCTGGTGCATGGGATCCATGGTGTGTCCTAGCAAGGGGGCATTAGAAAGGACTATCAGGACTTGGACTTTGGTTAAGTGATTTGGGGGAAGGTTCAAGGAAGTGGGGCTTGACTCTGGATTGGGTGGTGTCAGGGAAGCAGGGACACTTCTGTGACTGGGTATCTTTTATCTAGGAAAAAGGCAGACAGAGTGAAGCTGAAATTGGTGACAAAGCAGCAGTCACTCATTAGCTGGGAGAGGGGGATGGTTGCTATTTCATGATTTGCACACCGACCATATTTCGTGTTTAAACAAAATTGTGAAGTGTGATCTTGTTTTCTGCCTCACTTCATCACAGTCACTGATGCCCTTGTGTGATGTTGTTTTGTGAGATTGTGTCCAGTAGGAGAACACCATTTCCCAGCCGTGAGCTCAGCTCAGCCCCTAGCAGACCCGAAGCCCCGCCGTGCCAGGCCAGTTCCCAGATGGCAGGGCTGCTATCCTGCTTCTCACCTGCTCAGTCATTGCGGATAAGACAGTAATCACAGCTCAGTTAATAGTCGAGTTTGGTGGGTCAAAACCCAACATCTGTGCCTAGTAAATGTTGATTAGTGCGTTTTGTTAGAGAAACCTCTAGTCTCTAGTGATATACCCAAGGGCTACGTTCTGTTTAAAAAAAAGAAAATAAAAACTTGTATAAAAATATGAAAAGCCCTATTATCAACAGTAACACAAGGAAATACCAAGTAATGCTGAAAGTGCTGTAATATGGATTCACTGAATTAATCCAAGAGGACAGTTTGGATCAATTTGGATTGACCCTCCCCCTAAAAAATTGCTTGAGCCTGCCTGAGGAAGAAATGCAGAGATCTCTTATTAGCAGTAAGTTTGTTTTTTGTAAAAACAAAATCTCAGGCCTCCTAGTAGGTCGATTCATAAATATTAAGAGCCTGCTATGTTTTAGGCACCTTCTGAGGAGCTCCATAAGGGTAACAACCGTAGTAATGCATTGTAAATAGAGTGGGTCTACCGTGTCTGAGTGGAACCACTCCTAACATATGGTGTGTTCTAAATGTAATTTTTAAAGAGGCCCATCGATAAACCAGTGGGGTAGCAGGAAAAAAAAAAAACGGACAAGATTGGGGGAAGACCTAATAGATATCTTCAAATATTTGAAGGGCTCCCCAAAAGTTCCTGTCTTGCTGCATGGGAGATGAACGGTTCTAGAAGAATAGCTAAGCACTTAACAATATAAGCCAAGGCACTGTGCTAGCACTTTCCATGCACCATCTCACTGACACAATGGGTACTGTTATCGAACTGGTTTTGTAGAGGAGAGAGCAGGCCTAACGAGAGTCAGCTGCCCAGGGTTCTGCAACTAGTAAGGAACAGAGCCAGGAGTTTATTCAGGCAGAAAGTTCTAATGATAAAACTACTTTGCAGTAACTTTTGAGGAATAATAGAGGAAATTTCCTTAAATCCCGTTGTCCCTTCCATCTTGAAGAGAGGGCAAGGACTAGATTACCACGTGTAGCCCTCTGCCTCCCCTAGGACTTAAATGAAGTTTACATATAGATGCAGATGGCAAATCCAGGAAGTCTTGGTATTCTCATCACTTAGACACTTCCTCTAACAAATGGCCATGCTTTCCCCCGTTACTGATTTACTGCTCATTACCACCAGGTGGCACTTGGGTAGCAGAATTGTCTCTGGGCAGGGACCCACCCTGTTGACTTGTTCTGGTGCCTGCATTGCAGCTGCTGATCCTGTGGCTCCTGGGCCCCAGCTGGGAAGAGACCTTCCTGAGGATGGGCTTTTGTCTTCCAGAGACTGTCTTTAGTAGAAGGGTCTGATGATCCAGGTGGGTAAGAAAGTGGAGAAGCTTGGAAAGGAAACCCCTTTGGTCGCACTCTCCACCCCCTTGCCTAAGTGACCTGCTCCTCCTACTCCAGTGCTTGGCAAATTTCAGTTTACAGAGCGGTTTCCCTCTAAGGAGGCTCATCCATTTTCCTGCTATAGTTCTGCTTCCTCAGTTGGTGAGCAGGTCACCCTTACTTCTTCCAAACTCCAGGAGCTCCTTCCTACCTGCTTACCTCTGAGAACATGGAAGATGCACACAGGAGATAGAAAGCTGTTCTGTGTGCAGTTCTGCACACCGAAGGAAGCACTCCAGATACTGTTAGCCTCAGGGAAGTAGAGAAGGGGAAGTGGGAAAATTTAAGGGGGTAAGGCTGAGCAGGGATAGGTTTTATTTTTTATTTTTAAGATTTTATTTATTCATTTGAGACACACACACAGAGAGCATGAGCAGGGGGAGAGGGAGAGAAGCAGGCTCCCCGCTGAGCCAGGAGCCCGATCTGGGGCTCGATCCCAGGACCCTGGGATCATGACCTGAGCCGAAGGCAGAAGCTTAACCATCTGAGCCACCCAGGTGCCCCCAGGGATAGGTTTTAAACAGTGAAACACAGTCTGATGAAATCTGTGCCCTGCAGAGGCAGATAATATTTATCAGCTGCAGATCTAGGCTCTCCCCACCAATCAACCCTACTTCCCCTGCTGCACCAAACAGTTACACAAGCCCCACATATACTGCATTAAAAGATAATCATTTTATAACCAACTCTTCCCTCCTGGGCTTCCAGTTTAGTTTCTAAGTCCCTGGACAACACTCCTAAGTGCAGTTAACTAGTAACAGTGGTCAGCAATATACCCTGCACTTCCCCCTTCCTAAACTTACACAGTACAACATGGAATTGCACTAGTTTACGTCTGACTGTATTCCGAACTTTCCTTCCAACTCAGGCAAATAAGAAACAGAATTGTCTCATTACTCTTGATTTCTCATTTTAGTGTCCTAGCAGTTCCACGGGGTCAGGAAATTCTTGGAAAATGTAATCAAATCCGCTGCAGCTGAGGCGTCTCCCCTCCCCCCACCTTTTGGGAGCCAATTTAACTTGTTCTCTATGATAGAAATAACTAAGTCTTGGAGATTTAAAAAAATAAAGCCTCACTTCCTAGTCACGCCGTTCTCTCTCCCTCTCTTTCCTGAAGACTGGATAATCTCAACTCTGTAATTCTCGTATTTTCCAGTTTTTTCTAGCGGCTATCGTTACACTGCACAAAGGACAGGAGGGGACAGGATAGCCAGGGTCGGTCATCGAACATTTTCATTCCAAATGGGGTGTTTTCCTTTTCTTTTTTAAGGACAGCCAGGGAAACACTGAAGGATAAGTAATGTACCTAGAGTATGAAAACTAGGGAAAACTGACAAACGAACATGTAGGAATCCCAGACAAATCTTCCCAAACCGTCCGAATGGAGTGGAAGTAAATTCTGATCCTCCACAACCCCTCAACTTGGCAACCCCAAGTCCCTGTAAAACAGAGTAATTGGCGGTGCGGCTCCGCATGACGTCATACCGCAGGCACTCCAATCCCACGTGGGGGAGCGCCTGGTCCGCCTCTCTTTAAACGGTACGCCACGCCTCCTTCTCTTTCTGACCAATCAAGTGCCGCTCTGTAGCCTCTTTCCTCCCTTTCCCGCCGTCCAGACCGCCCATCTTGGCACGCCGGTCTAATCAAGGAGGTCCTCCCTCTGCCGAAACTTACCGGCTCCCGGCGGAAGAGGGGCAGGGTTTCTATCTTTTGACTCCACCTTGGTCTGTGCAGCGCCGGCCAACCCGAGCCGTCAGATCGAGGGGGCGTGGCTTAGGGTCCCTTCCCGCAGTGTGCGGTTTACTGTTTGCAGGGGGCCGCTGGGCGCTAGACGAAGCAACCTCCAGCTGGTCTCTGGGTCGGGCGGGTCCTCCCAGAGGCGGCACCATGGAGCGCTCTCCTGGAGACGGCTCCGGTCCCAGCCTCGTGGACCAGCCCTCTGCTCCCTCCGAACCCCCTGACCAGCCCCCCGCCGCTCACACAAAGCCGGACCTGAGTTCTGGGAACCAACCTGCCGGCCCAGGCGCGGCGGGCGAGGCCCTGGCGCTGCTGACTTCGTTCGGGCGGCGGCTGCTGGTGCTGGTGCCGGTGTACCTGGCCGGCGCAGTGGGACTCAGCGTGGGTTTCGTGCTCTTCGGTCTCGCCCTCTACCTGGGCTGGCGCCGGGTCCGCGATGAGAAAGAACGGAGCCTTCGAGCAGCGCGGCAGCTGCTGGACGACGAGGAGCGGCTCACGGCGAAAACACTTTATATGAGCCATCGAGAGCTACCTGCCTGGGTGAGCGAGCACCCTCAGTGCTGCATAGTCCCCCTCCTAGTCCCCCGGTTCTAGGGGTCTCCCTCCTGTCCCTAAAGGCAGCTCCCCACCCTGGGACCACGGGAGGGAAACTCCCCTCTCGCCCCGCTAGCCGCCTGCCTGCTGGGACGCGCCACTCTTGGGACCGAGTAGCCACTCTTCCCCCTCCCCCCTCCTTTCCGCGCGCCCAGATCCCGATCCTTCCACAGAGTCAGGACTTCTTCCTCTGCTCCTGGGCAAGCAGTAAGAACATCTGGGGAGCCGGTCTCAGCCGTGGCCCGCCTTCCTAGCCATGCTGCTTGAGCGTTCCTCGCTTCTGGTGCCGCTCGCGCCTTGCTGCTCCCGGACATCCCCGTTGCGGCTCAGGCGCTTCCCTCGTCTCTCCAGTCTTCCTTGAGACTTTTTTTTTTTTTTTTTTTTTTGCCTATATAAGGCCATAAGGTTCTCCCTTTTCCCGCTCTTATCCCCGGGGACCCGCCGGGACCCAGGCCCAGGAGCACTGCCCAGGAGAGCCGCCGCCCCCGACCGACCCCCCCGCCCTCGCCTGGCAGCCCCAGGCAGTTGGGCCGCAGCGCAGCAGAGGCGACTGCGGGACGCAGGGCGGGGGTGCGGGGGGCAGGGTAGTGCGGCTGCTGCAGTGCCCGCTGCCCACACTCCACGGCCCTGGTCGGCCCCACCCTTTTCCGGACTGCGCGCCGCGCCGGCTGGGTCCGGGCACCCGGGCCCTAGGTCTGCGCGCCCTCGCCTCCTGCCTTCTCTCCAGCCCTGCTGGGGCAGCGCCCGTTACCCGGCCCCTCCCCGCCTCCGCTTTCCTGCCCTTCCCAGCAGAGGCGCCAGTCTGGGGGGAGAATGGCCGAGGAGAGGAACCAAAGTTGACACTAGGCAGATAGGGCCATGCTGCGCAGGCCCGGGACTGGAGAGGGGGGAAAGGGGGAGACCTCGTCCCAGGGGACGTGCAGCCCAGGCAGCAACTGTCTTTGTTCCTCCTGCTCCGCATCATGGAAAGCAGTCTCCTTCCTGAAGCGGGTGTCCCTCTTCCTCCCCAACACAAAGCACAGGTGTCCTTCCTTCCCATAAAAGGAGTCACACTGATGAAGAAGAAGAAAAACAACAGGGCTAGGGCCTAAATAGCTCTTCTGGCCCCTCTCTAACTCTAGGAGCTGCTTCCCTCTTCACCTTCTTGGTGTAGAAGCAGCTCCAGTCCGAGGTGAGGTGGGAAGGCTGCAAAAAGGGACCAAGACTTCTCCAATCCCAGGATTTCCTCCTTAAACTCTGATTTGTCAGGACCTCCCCCTCCAGAAAGAATGTAGCCTTCTCCTCCCTCCCCCGCTGCTCCAGCAGCTGTCATCATTTCACATCCCCCAGCTGTCCACAAAGCAACTTTGCGTGGCCCACAGCCTGTCAGGGCCCCCCATCAGACCGCGGCACCCCCAAACCCTGTGGAGGAGTGAATGCTCTGGACATCCCAGCACCCACCACCAC